TGGCATGTCAAGGTGCTAATTAGACAACATGAATATTGCACAAGTGTGCCTTAGACTGCCCACAATAAAAGGCCACTCTGAAATATGCAGTTTGATCACATAGCACAATGCTGTAGATGTGAACACCATTTGCCTCACGCAGTGCAACGCATGTCCATTGCATCAATTTTTGCAGAAATTCTTTGGTTATGCAAACTGATTGTTGCTGCAGCTGTCTGTGTGGCTGGTCTCCACCTGGTCGAACATCCTGGAGGTGAACATGCTGGGTGTGGAGGTCCTGGGTTGGTGTGGTTACATGGGGTCTGCGATTATGAGGCCCGTTACTGCCAAATTCTCTGACACTGCTTTGAAGATGGCTTATGGCAGAGAAATGAACATTCACTTCACAGGCAACAATTCTGGTACACATTCCTGCAGTCAGTACACGAATTGCATGCTCCCTCAAAAGCTGCGACATCCGTTTGCTCTTTTTTCCCCTCTCTCAACAGGTGATCCAGGTGATTTTGTCATGTTTCACTGTTCCTCGTACCTTCTTTTTTTCTTTCCCTCCCTCACTTTCTTTCTTTCCTATCCCCCAGTCATGTCTGTCCTGTCTGTAATAACTTAGAATAAAACAGAATAAATGATTAAGCATAACAAAGGTCAATCAAATGGACCAATATGGCAAGGCCATGATTATCCACTTGGTGAAGTAAATCAGTGGGACATCTTTCTGGTCCTTCAAACAATAATTGTGATGGCTAAAGAAACGAACGGGACAGGCAATAAATAAATAAATGAATAAATAAATAAATAAATAATAACTAGAAAGCGAAAACTTCAGAAGAAATTTTAAGTGTGCCGCAGCTAATCAGTGTAGTTTGCCATTCATATGGCTACAGAGAGCAAAACTCAGCAGAGCAGCCATTCTCCACCATGAACTATGGTAAAAACAAACACCGCTCACGCCTCACAGATGACAGCTTACAGTTTTGTGTAAAGATGACTTCATACAGCCCCGATTTGCAGACGCTGTGCCCAGAGGTTCATGAGCAGAAGTCCCATTGTACCATGGCAGACCCCACAATGTTTGCATGAACACGCTTTGCAGCATTACTTTATTGACCAATTTTCACACATTGTTGCTGTACCCACACAGCCGGCTGTAGCTTTTCATCTCACAGCCCGACATACACCAAAACAACAGCCGAGAGAGCACAGACTTTACGCCTGAGAGGCGTGATTGCAGATGCCACTCAGGTGGGTCCACCTCCCCTGCAGGTTGTAAGATTCAGATAATTATTTAATAAAAAGCTAAATATTTTATATGAGAGTAAGAAAGAAAAGTATTTCTTTGTGCTCCCCTTTCCCTGTTAATGCCCTAGCTGGCCCCCTGGCAAAAGCTTTGCTAGATCCGCCCCTGCACAGTTAC